AGCAGGTACCTGGTGAGCAATTTCATGCGAGATGATGTTTGAAGTGGTTACTTTATTCCATTCCGATGACACACTCGCCTCCCACAACAAGTATCTTTCTCTATAAGTAATCAATCCCCAGTTCTCCATGGCACCGGGACCGAAGTCGGGTAGAGCAATCATATCTGTTTGTAGAGGAAAAAAGGAAGTTACTACATATCGTTGAAAGCTCTTTCTTGAGTGCAGCGGTACCTCTAGATATTAAGTAGTCACCCTCTATAAGGCGACCACAATAAAAAGTCTCATTCTTCTAACTTCCCTTCATTCAACCTTTACTCAGCGGCCATCCTCTATTAAACGACCAGTTTGGAGATCGAGTTCGGAGGCTGACCACATAATAGAGTCACCTCAGAACTGCGTTGTTTAAAATACGAGACTGTTTCATCGGGTATAACGCGTCTAATTGATGATAAATACCTGCTTTAGGTAAAGTATATTTGACACCAAAGTATTCTTCAAAGAACGTCATAATTTTACTCCCGTCATTGGCAGCCAGTGTTGTGTGATTTACGACTGATGGACGGCTGTATATTCTCATCTGGAAGGAAAAAATTAAAAAAAAAATGTTTCTTTGAAACTTAYTGCTAAAACACATAGTCCGGAGCGTTTATCAACGATTTATCCTGCAGATAAGAAGGATCCACGAGTTGAAACAAATAACCAAGGTCCTGTGAGCTATTCAGTAGTACTTGCGCTGCGTGCCRTTACGTATACGCAACACATCGTTACGTACCTCCACGTTGTTTTTTGTCACAATCTTTCGATACTTGAAGTCTCCAACGGCGAGAGCAACAAGGTACGTTGGCATGACAACCGTCTTACCAAAATAATCATGCGTTTGTCCTCTTACGGCTACACTTCTATATATMGGCATGTTGGACAATGCGATGTATTGTGGGTGATGAGCGATAGTGACGTTGAATGTCGCTTTGAGTGCGGGCTCATCAAAGCATGGAAACGCTGTTCGTGCTCTAACGGGTTCAAATTGTGTTGAAGCGAAATTGCTGTTGGGAAAAATTATTGATAGAGTTAATACTATTCTTATGAGGAAAAAATCCTATTCAAAATACGCTCACTAAAACAACTGAATTTGACAAAAAAATGTATGCTCAACTTTCGATCCCAGCTGCCATCTTGAATGAAAAAGAACATACTTTTAAATCGATGRGAGAAAGAAATAAACGTACAAGACACCTGCAATTAATGTCCTTGAAAAAAGGAAGGTATCAATCATTGCAAACTCAAGGCACCCTTTCATCTATCATCGATGGAAAAGCATGTGTAACATACAGGTATTAACAAAAATCACAAAAAAGAGAGTGGTTTGGCATACCTAAGCTTCCCGTTAGGGTATTTGTACGTGCTACGGTACAGACCTCGAAGATCTCGACTAAAAAACCCTTCGTAATGCATTGTTACAACGTAGAGAGACGGAGACAGCATGGAATCGGTTTGAATCACGTAAAACTCATTCTTTTTGAACTCAAAGTGTCTTCTGATTGGAATATTATCTGAAACCAATCAATCAATCAATCAATCAATCATTTAATCAAGCATTCAATAATCAATCAATCAATGAATTAATCATTCAATCAAGCATTTAATCAAGCATTCAATAATCAATCAATCAATCATTCAATCAATCAATAGTCAACCATTCAATAATCAATAATCATTCAATCAATCAATAATCATTCAATCAATCAATAGTCAATCAATCATTCAATCAATCAATCAATAGTCAACCACTCAATAATCAATAATCATTCAATCAATCAATAATCAATCATTTAATCAATAGTCAATCATTCAATAATCAATCAATCAATAGTCAATCAATCAATCAATAATCATTCAATCAATCAATAGTCAATCAATCAATAATCAATCAATCAATCATTCAATCAATAGTCAATCAATCAATAATCAATCAATCATTCAATCAATCAATAATCAATCAATAATCAATCAATCATTCAATCAATAGTCAATCAATCAATAATCAATCAATCATTCAATCAATAGTCAATCATTCAATAATCAATCAATCAATCAATCAATCAATCAATCAATCAATCAGACCGTCAGTCATTCAATTCGTATGGCTGTTACCTTTAGACTTCACCTTCTTCTTGACTGTAAGTTGAGTGATATTTAAACCAAGGCTATGAATCAATATCAGATCAGTGGGACTAGTCACGTTGACCTCAACCTCGACGTTACCATCATAACGTGGTAGATCTACGGTTACGTTCAGAAAAACGTTATAGTGAACCGGAACTACGTTACGTGGTAGACGAATCTGCCACCAGGCCTCCGTTCCGGGCGTTGTTGGCGCAGGCGCTGATGTACCTCCAGTYTGAGGACCATCGTCTGACCCTGTTTGTCAAATTAAAGTCATTACAATAAATACTCCTTTTCAAACCTCGAATTTCACAAGTATCGAAGTCAATGCTCTCATTATCATCTGATAGAAATAGAATTTAATTCTCCAGGTTTTAGCATTTTTACAAATTCCCTAAAGAACTTTTGATAAGTTTAAACTATAATGACAAGTTTTCCAAATTTTCTTTYAAGCGTCGCAGTGACTACTGCTGTCATGGAAACAATTTGCAAAAAAGCAGAGTGATCTTTACTCGTTATTAAATAAACGCGAGCAAAACAGCTGTTCTTGACACGCATCAAATACGCTTCTTAGACATTTGTCTCCGAACACCACCTTGAAGTTTTGATGTATTCAAAGCATAAATCTAAATAAAGTACAAAATAAGAAGATCTYGCGATATGTTCGGTTTGAACAACTTCCATACTTCAAAGGCTATATGTTAGGTTTAAATTTGCCGACGACGCATGAATTTGTAACAATTTTTTTTTGAAAAGTTTTGCAAGAAGTTTGTACGAGTAAGATAAATGGATAGTAACTCTTCACGGTTGATTCAGGTGAACTGAAAGAAGCTTTTTGCAACAACTTATAAAATATACATATAGATTCTACTMAAAAATACCGCCAGCTTTAGTTTTGTGACTCAATTCATGTTGTCAGAAGACATGATCTTTTGCACTGCTTTAAAACTGAATAATAATGTACCGATTTCTAGCTGTACTGAACACTTCACTGACCACGACAAAAGTTTGCATTGCAAACACACAGCACTTCAGAAAGAACTTCTTTATAAACTGCGAAAAAAATTACCTTTAGATCTCCTTGAGCGAGCATGACCAAGTAAAGCAGCCAAGATAATGATGATCACAAGAAAAACTACAAGTATGGTAAACAAAGCGAACAGTTTGACCCTTGTACAAACATACTCCTTCGACCAAAAGCCCGATCCTTTTTTGATCACTGGTTCATCGGAGGTCGACGTATCGAGAGGAACATCTTCCATAGTTGCCATTAATTATAATTTGAATGCTTATGTTCGGAGAAAGGAATGACTGATAGCGTCGAGTCGACCAAGCCCCACTTGTAATCGACTGTTGTGCCCAGTGACTGGGTGACCTGGGTCTTTATTGACCCAGAAGGACTGTATTCGTGACGTATGTGGAAGGTTATTCGTGACGCGTTTTGATTCCTTTCGTCTCTTTTAATTCAAAATTCACGAAATCCCACCATTCACAAACAAATAAAAAGATAAAAAATATTAAACAATTCAAAAGTATTGTACAGCGATTTTTGTTTTCTCAGCTGGCAGTCAACCAAAACAGTAAGCGTGATTTTTGGTAACGCAGAGCACACAACAAAACAATTCTGAATTCTCTAGACTATAATTATCGTTGTACCAGAACGACATTTTGTTTGAAACCTTTTTTTGAGCTTGTTTTCATAGTTATAAAATAGCTAAGGTTTGTTTGATAGCTGGTACGCTGAATTTTTACATTTCAATAGTGAAGAAATCAATGGAGTAATTTTCGTTCTTGTAATGTAAAGATAATAACTGCTAGATAAAAGCGACCAGTATCAAAAATTTCTGTTCGCTGTGACAGTTGATCTAGTATCGTCAATGATCTTAAGTAAGAGAAAATAATTCCAGATAATGTACGTTCATTAACAACTATGAACAATATTGACTTTGTTAAAACCCGGAAAACTGAGCTTACATTACATATTCCAGACTGCCAAAATCTTAAAAACCTTTCTAATCTTTCCACACTATAAACACAAGTCAAGGAATGACTTCGCTAATTTAGCAGYCAAGGACACWCTGAAGTTAACCGCACTAGAACAACTAAAAGGAAATATTCCGCAATAGTTACCTTTAGARTTGGCAGCACCAAGTAACTCGACAAGCAAGATGACGACGAGAAGAAAAACCCCCACAAAAACACAAATTAAAAGAAAAACTCTGAGTTTTGAACACAAAACTTTTCTCGACAGAAAACCTTTTRTCTCCACTGTAGTCGAAGACACCGAAGTGTCGTGCGGCGAAGGATCCAAAGGAACTAGATCCAAATTTTCCATGGCTATGTTTGAGTGACCGAGTCTGATACACGCTCCAATGCTTCATTATGTTTATTATTGTTATAAATCACTTCGTCCATTTCGCTTGTCATGCCATGAGCTTTATGTTCCCTGTTTAGTCTATACAGTCAACAACTCTCGCCTTACGGACACCCCGCTAGAACGGACACCTCGATATTGCGGACAGTAAAAATACTGAATCCCCGGAAAYAAATACAGAGAAATGACTGAAAGTAACTCTCGTTATTACGYACTCTCGCTACTGCGGTCCCGAGGGTGTCCGTWATAGCGYGAGTTGACTGWACATTGTTSMTTGAGTTGCARATGCCCTGGAATGWTCTTGCTTGATGTTCGATGTTTTCAGCCGTTTTTCCACCAAGAATTTATTTGGTAATGTTGTTTYACCCACCAACCATYATGACTCTRGGTTAAATTAAACTTATCTTTGTTGTAACTGGCAAGTCTGAGCTTAAAGTATAAAATGAAAAAAAGAAGCAAGAGAAGGATGAAATTACAAACAAGAAAGACMCGTAAAGCCTCAATCTCTTTATTTTCATTCAATATAATTTGCTAACATTTTCTATAATTCATTAATTATTATTTAACATTTCATAGGGTATATTTAAACTCCTGTCCGTCGGCCATCAGTAAGATGACATTCTTATGGTTGATCCATACGAGTCTTACTAGTTTAAGCAGACTAGGCGACAACTGTGACGGTGGTTTAGGAGTTTTGTATGTCTTGACACACTTTAGAGTGCTGCTCAACATACCAAACAGGCCAGAACCGGTCTGAAGAAAACAGGGAAAAAAATAAACATACAGATATAAAGACATTAAAACGTTGTGTCCGACTGATATGGAATACGTAGAAGACGATAACTGATATATMCCATTTATTATGGATATCAGCAAACTCACGCTCTGATTGGCTACTCTTCTACTAGGACATCAACTCATATTCTTGAGTGMAGCAAAACAAAATGGCYACTAYATTTGTAAATCTTTGTGAGTAAGAAGTCCCCKAAAATGACTTACTTCTCAAACAAAGTACAACAACAATGGTCGCTCTGGTCYCGTTTGTACACAAACTTGTTTGAATTACGTTTCGGGAAGATTGAAAACTAACCTGCCAAAAGCAGATCTTGGAGTCTCCAAAACTGTARGATGCCAAGACTTTGTCATCCGGTGAGAAAGACAGCGCTATGACTGGAGACTTGTGYGCGCTTACCATCTGAATAAACACCACCATTTCAATGATTCAATATAACAAAAGTCTTGTTCTAATTGGACGTACATACGTGCGACACAAAAATGTACGCGCCGTATTTCTAAATGTGCTTAGGACCTATATAGACCAATGCTGGCGCTGTCTGTATGGCTTCTATTTGAGCTGGTTCATTTRTCGATTTGAGGTCGTCCAATGTCAAGGTACAGRCATTTGCATTGAGTCATTTCATAACCAAARTCTTAATATAACGATTGCGCATGCTCTAACATGATTTCTGAGCCCACATGGCCTAGTGCCTCTGATTTCTRAGAAACGATGGATCCATAAAAGATTATAAAAACAATTGCTATATATTAAAAAAACTGATAAATAATGATAAGTAAACAAAAAAAAAAGAAAAAAATGAATGAGCAATGATCAATGATCAAAATAGTATGCCCAACAGCAGGAACATTGCCATTAAAAAAATGAAAAGATGCCACAAAAAGAACATCTTCAAGGGGAAAGAAAGTCGATATGATCACTCCTACCTGACATCTAGAYGAACGGAGGTCATACAGCGCTATTTGTCCAGTTTTTGCTCCAACAGCAAGACGACGTGATTGGTGCGAATAGCTTACCATATTGAACCTTGAACATTAAAAGAAAACTTTAACAATTTTGCTTCTGGAATAAGTAGTCACAGTCTAACTGGTCCCGTTTATGTAGCGTATGACTATCTTACCTACAAAGTCCTGGGAAAAGTTCTGTTAGACCTTTTTCCTTGATGCTRTTTTGGTCGAGACAATAAACAACGACATCCACGACCTGGYAAAAAGGTATCTGGTCASTTAACAGACAAATGATGCCGATACCCCCCTCGCACCTAGKGGAAGCCCTAGTGCCCTCTAAACGCTTCCACCCATTTCATGTTTTAAGAATACAATTTTCTAAGAGGAAAACTACGGGACTTGAAAAAAAAAAAACCGTCACAGCGAAGGAGGCAAATCACCCAATAAATAATGTTACTAAAACGCGAACTCACGTCAGTCAGCAAGTCGACGACTTCTTGCTGAGTTTTCTCGACCATCAAGTCAATTATTCTGAGTATTTCACGTTTAGAGCGGTTAAGTACGGAAGTTGTTTGTACTTCTGTATTCTGAGAGGGCTGGTGACGAACATGACTATACACCGCAATGGCTGATGGGGCAGGTTGATTGAATGACATCGACGAGGCTACGGACACACTTCGGGCTACCTGTGYCAAAGAAAATTGTCATCATCAATGAGGTTCACATCACAGGTTCGATATGAATGCCTGAGTCGGGATAAAATGAAATGTTTATGAAAGTAAATAGAATAATTATTGTTTCATTTCTTCGCTCTCTTAATATTGATATTTTTTTCTGTTAAATTTTAGCTATTTTTTCACTAACCTCTTTAGCAATAGTAGCYATGAAGACAGACGGCCTTGCAGTTGCTATTAGCGACAGAGAATGCCTAGCCGATCGATGTGTATCTGCTGCTGGYGACAGCGGCAACCCTTTACGGAATGTGAGATCACGGTACTTATCGTCAGCGGACAACTCCAAAAGAGCCAYYAGAACAGAAGAGACGTCCATATAAGGTTCCCATAAGGTAAAGCCTCGACCAATCAGATCAATTGCCGCCCTTCTGACTGACGTATGAGCGCTTTGTCTTGATGATGGTGGTTTTAATAGAAGGTACATGAGTGCTTTACCAGTGTGACGCACCGTGTTAAAATTCATAATGGCATCGTTTGCTGTAAAATAAAACAAAAATCAAATTAAGTATCAAGAAATGGTTGTCATTTTTTAAAACCAGTGTCATAACCACCACACCGAACTGCTAAACAAGATCTCGACTAGAACATATTTTGTATTCTTTTGCAAAAAAAAAACTACAATACTTTGTTGCCGCGCGGTGCTGTATAACAGGCGAGGTCCCATGACCGTGTGTGATCCATGCAGCAATCCATGCCTTTGGTCAGTCATACAAACATGTGCTAAACAATGATACTAGTAATTGGACTCGTATACAGTCAACTCTCTCGTAAATGACCACCTCGGGATAAGGAAAAAGTGGTCGCTTACCAGAGATAGTCGCTTACGAGAACGTTTTTTCACAGAGTTTATATGGGAAACTGAACAAAACGGGAAATTTAAAAGGTGTTCGTTTACTAGAGTGGTCGTTCAAAGAGAGTTAACTAATAACAGAGTCAACTGACTTGATCACTATTTACAAAATCAGATACAAGTGCCGAAACGTTCAAATAAAGAGTAGGAATAATAGTTGCAAGTTGCGTGCCTTTTTCTTCAATTTATTCAATTTACAAAATCAGATACATATATACCTGTGGTTCCGTTGCTATCACGACCTCCCGTCGCCCGTTTTCCACGTTTCTCGTACACTTCTACTTCCCCCTGGAATTCCGCGCCTATCACACCCATCAARACAATAGCTGTTGCTTGGCGACGGCGCATGTCATATTGAAGTAGTTTCTTGACGCTGGACAGTACTGTACTGACGTCATCYCTGGGGAAAATTACCTCGTCTTCGGCCGAATCGTGTCGTTCTATAAAAACAATCTCTGTTAACTTGTYCGTATTCTCTATTTAGGTTGTTTTGTTATTTTAAATATATAATAATTCAGATTTTTATGCAGTACAGTACGATTCCACATTATGATAAAATGTAGATCTATTCTATTTTGCTTGAATTAGTGAACAGTTATTTAAATTATCACAGCAATTTATCCTTCTTCCTCCTTAATACGTCATTCTTCTCTATTATACATACCATACAACTGAGGGCTGGGAGGACCCTGGTGACTAACATCTGATGACGTCTCGCCCCCACTTGCTGTAGAACTAAGGTCGTCGAGTTTTTTTGGAAGCTGTGGGGCCCAGGTCTCGACAATCTTCTTGCGGCAATCAAACCCYATTCGTCTCAACTCAGCCAGCAAAATTGCTTGTGAAGCCTCTCGCACCTACATTAATACAGAGAGTATTAAATCTATGAACTGTCCAAAATAATCGGATTTCCCTATAGTGAAGGTACTTATGTAACAGGAATGTCAGTACAGTCAACTCTCGCTATAACGGACACCCGCGGGACCGTAAATTTATAGTCCGCAGTATCGAGAGTTACTTTCAGTCATTTCTTTGTATTTTTKGCCGGGGATTCAGTATTTTATTGTCCGCAATATCGAGGTGTCCGTTGTAGCGGGGTGTCCGTAAGGCGAGAGTTGACTGTAAATCTATATCCAATAAATATGGGTGTCCGTATTATAAAGGTACGCATTTTATAGAATATAGAAGGATTATACAGATCCGCCCGTAATATGGAGTACCCTGTATTATAAGCTTTCTATATCATAAAGAAGTACATAATACATAGACCTGAAATGAGCTGCCCGTAATAAAGAGGTGCCCGTAATACACAAGTGTCCGTCATTTGACCTGACGTACGAACATAAAGCCGTCTGAATCAGGTATCTATACGATAGGAACTCACCTCTAGACATCTATCCTGCCATCGCCGAGCTAGGACATGAAGTAAAGGTGGCTTGTATGAAGGGACGACTAATAAATCCGCCAGGAGACAGCAGTGCAATGCAGCCAGCTGACTCCACCCAGCTTTGATATGCGCACGATGGTTCATGGCTAGTTGAACTTCAGAGTCTGTTGGTATGGAGTCTCCTTCGTTCTGGTCGTCGTAGCTAGAGGACGATACGGAAACATCGCGGCTTGCGTTGGTAAGAAGAGCAAGACGTTTTTCTGATGGGATGAAGCTGACCTATTCAAAACAATAAAATTTATTCAAGATTTAGTTTATTATTTTTAACAAAATCGATTAAATCATTTTAGAAATCATATAACTACTTACAAACATCACTCTCTCTATATTCTTCTTTGAGATACCCTCCCAATCCAAGAGTAGCGCACTCAACCAACATCATCCAAATCCAGCTCATCCTARCCCAACACATCCCCWCCCATCTTCGATCTCATWCTAACCCGTCCCGACCCAACCCAYCCRATGCCAACCCACCCCACCCCACCCKARCCTCCAAACARCAAAAACAGCCTCGACTAGTGGTTACTACCAAGYGCGGATCCAGCTGAAATTTTAAAGAGGAGGGGGGAGGGCTAAATGGTTTCCCSATAACCCTTTCGACCATTCAGTCTCACCTGATTCATGCTCATGAGCGTYTTAGCAACCGACACCAGTCCAACAAGGTGTAACGTTGTCAAGGCCGATGAGAGCTGCCAGCGAGAATGTGAACAGATTTTATCTTCGGAAATGTTCGACGAAGTTCGGCGCTTTCGAACAATTTCGTTGGCTAGTACACTTGGGAGAATTTGCGATGGAGTAACTTCATCGTCAGTATCCTCGCCATACCAACCTGGCAGCATCAAAGAGAGTCTACCACCCCGAGTTAAAAGCCCAAAAGAAATTGGCTTGGTCGGTCTTAATAGTCCCAGGCGCTCTATACAGACTTCATCCATATTAGAATCCAGTCCCCACGAGTGAAGGGCAGAGATCATAAGTTGGGCAATATCAAAGGTTTCATCCGTTGCCCGGGATAAGTTTGAGGARGKGTCCGATGTYTTTTGGTCAGTCTTGGTTGGTGTTTTCCCTTTATTTTTGCTGTTAGATAAACTCTTTCTGGAGTTACTGCTTTTCTCTGAAAAGGAAAGAAAAACCCTAGTTACGGTACCAACCTGCATAATGATCTTCCTGGTCCTATTTTAAACACATGGCAGCCAATGAAAGTTTGATATACATGCAGCCGTGTTTAGTTTCGGCCTTCAAGTTCTTACTTGCTAGAAAAGGATTTTCTTCTTTCATAAGATGGCAGATGACAGCTTCCGTGTCGAAGAGCATCACGTGGATCTCGGCGTCGCTTGTCGCTGCTTTCGTAGACAGGACTTTGAGAGGTACAAATCCCTCATCGATAACCTTCAATCAAACAGTCGATAAGTGATCGGTCGGTAGACTGATAACAATCAATACTGGGTCGGCAGCCAATCAATTTAATAGTTAAGTCAATGTATCAAGGTTATTCAAAAGAAGACGTGTCAATATCACATAAAATCAGTGTGTTCTACAGCCCACCACCCTCCCCTCCCCCCTTACCCTCCTTACATTGTGTTGGAGCCCTTGTTTTCACGAATTTCAATAAAACAATCGATAATTGATCGGTTAGTAGACTGGAGACAATCTATACTTGGTCGGCTAAAATCATCTGCTCATTTAGAATCAATGCGAAGGAAAAATGACACATTATSAACGGGATTTCTAAAGGATTTCAACCATTGTGAATACGATTAAAACCAAGACTCTATAAAATCTCCATATTGATTTACAAGGAGACTTATCACGGAAAAAAATATTCACAATTCTTGCACCTTTCATAAAAAATAATCGTGTAGATTGTTTCAGTTTTTCATTCTTGCTTTCGCTTGATTTTGTTTTTCTTTCTCTTCAAATGTGGTGCATCTCGATCAATGTTTTCAACATAATTTCCAACATAATGTCGAATGATTGGCTTATAAAACTATACATAGAAATCTGATCTTCAGCTTATTTATAATGTTACTGTTGCTTAATGTTGTTTACTATTTGTATTTTTATTTATTATTATTTATTTACAAACTCTTTAAAAGCTTTACACTTACTTATAAAATTGGGCACTCGCACAATTTTAGGGTGCCTTAGCTAAAGTTAGTGTTAAGTCGGCCGAAGATTTTTCTAAGCAATATCGTTTGATTGAACAATGTACAGTAAGCCAGATGGTCAAACTAAACTAGACTAAATTACCTTATAATATGCGATTAAATACTTACAATATAGTTACAGTTTGATTAAATATTGATAATTCAGTTATAGTATTTGATTGAATATTTACAATAGATTCACTAACGTTCTATTCGAAAAAAATCTGAAGTGACAGTTTTGACTCAAAGTCTCGAACAATAAGCAAGGATGAAGTATTGTGCGTCTTTCAAACATAGTTTACTTGAAATAWATGTTTTTTTCGTCTTATTTTCAATTGTCCTTGAGGGACTCACTTGTGCTTCCTGAAACGATATTAATTGTAGAGCTCTGACCACCACGTAAAAAGCCTTAGTAGACGTTTTTTAATTGTTCAGTTTATTTCAAAAGTTTTAAYCATGCTTTCCTGATCTCCTTGTTCGTACTAATATAAATAGCAGGGTTCAACAGTGATGTCGACAGCCATAAGGTTTTTAACAATGGCGCGACAACATAAATTGGCACAAACTTGGTTGACACAACAGAAAGAAGTATTACTGGAATAATTCTTGAAAAAAGAAGGCCCAACGTAAGATATATTGCAACTTTGCCTACTATTATTTCTGACTTATTGAGCTGAACACTGGYCTGAGGTTTCTCTTGGCATTGAGGGTCGTCTTGTCTCACTCCATCTGTTCTTGTTCCTTGCACGATTTTCACAGAATTCCTCCTCGAAATGCATGGCCCATCAGCGCTTTCGGGAACATCCTGCCCGTGACACTCACTTTGCTCTTTCGAACCTTGCTGTGGGTGGACTTGTTCCTGATTTATGTCGACCTCTTCTCGTTTTGAGTTTAAAGCTACAGAGATGGTTTCTTCCTCAATGTTTTCTGGAACTCCCAGGCGTGGAATTTCTACCCCTTCTAAGGCTTGACGCGAAACAGATTGACTTGGCTCATGTGGTTTAGTGGATGGCCCATCAGCGCTTTCGGGAATATCCTGCCCTTGACATTCACTTTGCTCTTTCGAACCTTGCTGTGGGTGGACTTGTTCCTGATTTATGTCGACCTCTTCTCGTTTTGAGTTTAAAGCTACAGAGATGGTTTCTTCCTCAATGTTTTCTGGAACTCCCAGGCGTGGAATTTCTACCCCTTCTAAGGCTTGACGCGAAACAGATTGACTTGGCTCATGTGGTTTAGTGGATGGCCCATCAGCGCTTTCGGGAATATCCTGCCCTTGACATTCACTTTGCTCTTTCGAACCTTGCTGTGGGTGGACTTGTTCCTGATTTATGTCGACCTCTTCTCGTTTTGAGTTTAAAGCTACAGAGATGGTTTCTTCCTCAATGTTTTCTGGAACTCCCAGGCGTGGAATTTCTACCCCTTCTAAGGCTTGACGCGAAACAGATTGACTTGGCTCATGTGGTTTAGTGGATGGCCCATCAGCGCTTTCGGGANCAGTAGCTCAAGCTCTTGATAATTAATTCAACTAACGAAAACGACGACGAAAATAATTCTTTTTTTCTTTCTTTTTCATTATTTCTGCTTCCTCTAACGTCACAATAATGTAACATTTTAATCACCGMTATCCTTCCAAAGTKCAAGCTGAATCAAACCTTTKTTTTGTACACCCTATTTACTCATTTATTAAAAGGCTGGTTTATAATTCAACATCTCTCAACTTTTGGCGTCAATACAACGCCTAATTTCTCTGATCAACTCGACATCATTAAAACGACAGTTTTTCTTAATCCTCCTTTTCGAATGTCCACCATGTCCACCAAGTGATTCTCAATTAGCCCAAAACCATAAGACAGACATATTAAAAGCTTTAAAGCTTTTATAACAATAGAGTCTTGAAGACGAGTTAATGGTATTGTTGGAAGATAAAGATAATGACTAAAGCGGCGTTTACACGAGCAATTTTTCCTTGACAAGTTTCTTGACAAGGAAAAATTGCCCGTGTAAATGGTCAACAAGTTTTCCTCGACAATTCTTCCTTGACAATGTTTCTTTGCTCGCGTAAACGAAGAACAAGTTTTCCTTGACAAGGAAAAATTGCCCGTGTGAATGGTCAACAAGTTTTCCTTGACAATTTTTCCTTGCCACATTTTCCTTGCTGTCCATTTACACGAGCAAATTTCGTCCTTGACAATTTTTCCTTGTCAAGGAAAAGCCAACATGTTGATGTTTTTGTATCCAAAACTCAAATGAGCAAACACATTATTCACGTATGAATGATATTGGATTTAAAATGTGTGTCAACATTGCGCGAGACTGTCTATCAATTCATGGTGGAAATTCACTCCAAAATATGTGAAAATACCATAAAAGTGAAAATGAAGAAAAAGGCCCTTTGATCAATACATAATCATTTGAAAGAATCCAAACTTCCTTATTGTATCTTTTGATCACATCTAAGCAGGTGAATTGGATCACCTTATTTGGTAGCATGAAATACCAATGAAGTGCGGGTTGGGTAGTTTGAGGATTTGTCCAGTATCCAAATAGAGAGTTCACTACTTTCAATAGAATATTAATGCGATAAAAACATTTTAAATAAACACCACTTTTACAGTGCGAACTGAAAAAATGTGGCCGCATAGAAATATTTATGTTTATTGTTCATTGACCAATCAGAAGCAAGATTAACCGCCATCAAGTGCATTTTCACATGCAAATTTAATCAAAATTTCAATGTTACAAATAAATAAAACTAGTTTATCACAAAAAAAACAGCCTGTAAAAGCTCACAAATAGTACAATTTGGTTGTTTAGAATAAACACAAAGTTTGTCCATTTATGTTTTTCATCATGTTTTCTTGTTTGTCGGCTAAAGTCAKTTTTCACGTACACAAACCCGAAATACATGTATCTCTAGGCGGCCACGGTTTTTCAATTCGCACTGTAACAACAGTAACAATAAGAACATTTGCAATGATATAAAGGTAATAATTAATAAAATGACAATATCTAATAATATTTACCTTGTCTTCTTCTTGATGGTACTTTTTATCCATTGAAGGGCTAGAGGAGAATGCCGATGCACGGTTTTTCAGCTTTTTAACTGCAGTAGTAGCTGCATTTGTTGGGATATTGGAGGCAAGATTACTAAGCTTTTTACCCAGGACCCCTCCTTTGGATTTGGACGGGACAGTGGTAGAGGAAACTGGACGATTCACTTCATCGTCACATGCAGACAGAATGTCAAGGGCAACTTGACCATGAACATGGCGATCAAGATGGCCTGAAGGAGCATAAGATAAAGTGCAATTCAAACTTCTGAAAACATTTTTCCTTTAAAATTCCAGTGWCCATGACATAATCATGGGCTTGGAGAGAATTGGATGGAAACTACTTAAATTACAATTATTAGAAAATTTGTATATTTTYCATTCTTACCAGTCTCCATCTGCCATACATACACAGATCCATCAGAACAGCCAACAATTAGAAAATCATCCAAGGCCCGCCATTTGATGGTCTCCACGGGAAATGTGTGAATGGATGCAATCATGACGCACTTCCGTTCTCGTAAATTCAGAAGTGCGACGGAGTGATCAGAGGCTACAGAGCACACACAGTGAAGGATACGAGTCTGAAAATTTGCAATAATTTGCAAAATTGCAATTAATATTAATATGAATAAGATTTGTGTTACTCCTTACATCAATAAAAGAAATTACAAAAGAAATTGCATTTCTTACCCCACAATCAGGGGGAGTGCAGATCAACCTCAATACCTCCCCACCATGAGGAATGTAAGTACTCAGCAATTCCCCAGCTTGAATGTCCCATAGCTTGACAGTGAAGTCAACRCCCCCTGACACCAAATAATGTTTGTCAAATCGTGTATCCTCYTCACGGGGATARAGTAAACATGTGACACGTCCACGATGACCAACCAGAACACGGTGAACTGGCCACACTAAAAATAAATAAAAAGYCAATTATATCTGAGAAAAAAWTAAGTATTTTGCTYGTAGGGTTTCTTCAAAGTTTAATCAAGTGGAGTTCATAAATTAAATTTTWAAAAAAGTAACCACTCTTGAGYCTGGAAGGGGAAGAAGGTGTAAACTCYGGGTTAAATTTAGTCATCCTTACAGAAAATCAATGTCTAAAAACTTGTTCAATAGTTCAAGAATAATTACCAGGTTGTTTGGTCTTTTTAGTTCTAAACAACTGTGTAATGGCGGCTTTTGCTGCRGATACYACTACAATTGAGCCATCATCACGACCACAAACYATTAGACCACGRGATGTCAAAAAGAGACTTGTACTGACTGCTGGACTATTGTCGTCTGGATTCTTTAAAATGAAATTAGTATTAGTTGTTTGTGTCTTTTTAGATAAAAGGCTATATTGTTCATTWAGTATTTTCTCTTTCTCTTTTAGGAATTAAAAACTTTTTGTTTAACAATTTTGTTGATTTGATGACACTAACTGTTGTAAACAAGAGGACATACAATGAGAAACTATCACAAATTTATTAAGTGGTCTGTAACAGCACAGATAGCCAAGATATGCACTCAGGGCTCAAAATAACAGCCGGTCAACGGACAATGACCAGCCAAAATATGCACTTGTCCGGTCAAATTCATTTTGGCCGGTCATCTTGATCGGTCAATTCTGTATTAACGTGAAATAAAAACTATCGAAATAACTACTACAGCGGATTCAGGTCGACTGTTAATATAACAAACGATTCTCGGGCGTCGATGTTCTGCTATGAAGACTATCAGACAGATATAAGTTTTATAGAAAACGCTGTTTACATGTGTTTAATGAATACACAACGCAATTCGAAGAAAGGAAACTGAAACATGTCTGGTCAAAATTGTATTTGAACAGTCATCATGTCTGGTCACTGACCGGCCATTATTTTGAGCCCTTGCACAATTTGTACAAAATGTAACTCAAAATGGATAGAGTATGTTACATTTTGTTGCTAAAATCCACACATTAAATGCAAAGTTGAAATATCTGTGGCATCAGTGAATAAGTATTTATGATTTTACCYTGGAATCAATCAGTCCACATGGTTGACAAACTAAGTCCCAGCAATCTTGAATACTGCTTTCCAATGTCTGTGGAATTCCTGAAATGCAAAGAAAATATTTTTCTTTACATCCAATTTACAGACAAATTGTGAAAACATCACTGWATAGTGAAACCCCATGAAATCATACTTTTATCGATCTATTTACTAGCAATAAAAAACTTTACATAAAGAACTATAGCACTATTCCACTTATCAAAGCAGTCTGACCTGTTGTATTTGCTTGTGGAGACTTGGCTTTCAAKATTTCATTATCAACTTTCCACAGAAGAATGCTATTCAAAAATAAAAGGAGAAAAATACATTTTGATGACGAAAATAATTATTTTGTGCCATCATTAATAAACAACAATTTATTARTTGCCATATGAAACCATAAATACTAAGCTATTACAGAGTTTAAGCATCACGTTAATGGCAAARGGCTAATGGCAGAGCTGAACCAATGACCTAAGAATTTCGTGCCTGACCWTGTGCTTTTGGTAGTCATTTYAAAGAGCAGCTTTTCACGATTATGGCAAKCTCAAACTAACCCGCTCTRGTGTTGAAACTGCAATGTRAAACRCKAAAAAAGCAGATCATGTGACCTTTTCTGCCGTTTGCCATTTGCCGTGAACGTCATGCTAAACRTCTCTATTGTCTCATACCTTCCATCTGTGGTCCCCCTTAGAATAAGCTTGTAAAAAGGCTCTCGGCGGCCATAGGAGAAGAACATCACTTTATCGCTACACTCCATACACTGAATATCTTTAACTGATTTGTACATTTGTATGACAGTGGGATTTACGAATGGGTTACCTGTGGAAATATCATTGAATAACTTGATTAACGAAAGTTGAAGCAATATTATAAGTCAAGTAATTTTATTCAATATACCATTAGATWGACAGAAATATAGATGGGGACCAGTTTAATCAAAATGTTTTTTTTGTTTTGATGTAATTGGAGGTACAATTCAAAAAGAAAGAGATGACAATATAAGAGGATGATGTAATCATAAAGAACCCTTTTCTCTTTACCCGTTGACGTTTCCAACAATCCAGGACAACACCTYCATGAGAAATATAATATTAAGTGATCAGAATGATGAAAGCTTGAGTGTCTGACAAGTTCTTGTGTTGTCATCTGGTATCTTTTGACAAAAAACTGACTGATTGTGACAATGTGAACTACTGTCATAGTGTGACGGTTGGGTGTAGTAGGACAGTGTGTTGTGTTAAGTTCATGTCATAAGTACATATTGCTGTGTTTAGGAGTATCATATACACAATGTTAGACAATATAGACTGTATGGCTCAGGAGGAATCTGTCATTAGTATTGGTGTGTTTTTAAATCAAAGCATTACTTACGTAACTGGTAACTTGTAAAGATAGCTTGTACCGCACTAAAAATGAGTTATGCAAAATGAATGATGAAACAGTGGAAGCTACTGAACAATATAGAATGTAAAAAAAGATCATAATGATAAGAAAACACAAATTACTTAAAAAAAGCTGTCATTTTCTTTATACCTTTGTCCATACAAGCATGCAATCAGCAGCAACAAAGTCTCCACCAAGCCACACTTGTTCTTTAGGACAGGCCACAGATGCTAGGAACTTGAAATCACTGGCGTCATAAAGCTAAACAAGGAAAAAATTTCCATTTTAAAAGTATTTTGTAATATGGCTTGGAATAACATTAGAATTTTGACAAACATTTCTTGCTGTTAGTCGAGTGGAGCTTTAGTGCATGTATGAAGTTTGCTATAATTTGTTTAATAGTCTCCTTCATGGTTACCTAGATACGCTATCTTGAAATGTAGCTGTGCCTTTACATCAAAGCGAGACAACCGTTGAGCGTGCAGTGATAAAAACTTGTGAATAATTGTCTGTACATGTAGGTGTTCAACGGTGGTCTAGCTTCGATGCAAAGGCACAYCTACCTTTCAAGATGGCYCTGGTAAGGTCRWGAAGGAWACTATTACAGCCTTCACCTACCAAACATGCTGAAGAGCAAACTATGAGAATACTTCGTTGTGTGAATGGATTACAACAAATGGTTTGAGGTTTACTTGTTCCCAATTGCTTGAGGTCCTGTTCATAAGCCGGTTCACAATACTGAAAGAAGAGATAAAAACTAAATAGTTAATTCAAACATAAATTGAAATTATCAATAATTARATTCTATTATTGTTTATGAAGAGCAATAATATCTACTTAATAGGGAAAAAGATAACAGCATTATTAAATAAAACTGTGCAATSTACCTTGCTTTCAACACTGGTTTTCAAAGTCCATATTGCTAGAAAACCAGTCAAAGATACACCAACAACAACATCCTCTGGAATATTCATGAGAATAAAGTCATTAATATCAATTATAAACTTCATTYTAATTTATATATGATAGAGTGATTTTAGTTTACCTTGGCGCCTTGCTGGACGGACTACACAAACTGTACTTATCCAGTTTGAATGAGAAGAAGAACGCAGGGTATATAAAACCTGTAAAGAAACACCACATAACAGAAATAAACAAAGAGATGAGCATGAAAGTTGTACGGGGAGAATGTGATGTGCAAGTCTCCTTGATGGTTCCATTATACAAATATTTACCTCTAATGATAGCGCATCCAGGATATAAATTTCAGGATAACTTCCATGACAGACTACTCTCCACTCTTTGCTGCTTCCAGATTGGACATGGAAAGACTGAAAGGATAATTTTATATTTAAATTTGATATAAATCAGTTGGTAGAGGTTGAATTTTGCTGATCTAAATCATATTGAAGCTCGGTACTTCAAACCAAATCAAATGTACACGTCAATCTTTATGTCATATTTCCCATTATTATATATTATCAGAATTATTTTCAACTGATCTAGGTGTTGTTTAACCTCCTCCACAAGTAACTTTCCCACTTTTACTCATTTCCACCACTCAAACAACCTTCCCCACCATCCTCCACTCCACCCTCCCACACACTATCATTCTCCCTGTATAAAAAAGACAGGAATCCCAGGCAATGAACTGTAACTGTAATTCTGGTGTAGATGGCTAATTTCCTTCAGACTATACTCACATGAAGAGCAAAATGAATTCCATTGATYATGTTTGTTTGAATACAAAGACCATCATCAGTGTCCCAGAGACATAACTCTCTGAAACCAAAAACAAAATCACTATCAAAATGTAATATTTGAGGCAGAAATACAAAAGAACAGATAAGGAAATATTTGTATATAGTCCAAGATAACATGGACAATTCTGTCTCAATCAAATTTTACCCATTTTCAGCAGAACTAATGATGCTTGATTTGTTGTCCCATCCATCGCTGGCTTTTGCTAAAGCCGTCACTTTGGCTGAATGCGCAAAGATTAAATTCCTTGGAACAATCTTGAAAGACACACATAAATAGTTAMAACGAGTCCCTATTCTCATTTTTTCATTCTTCCACCCACTTATCCATCTCAATCTATCCAGTTTTTCCACTAATTTTTGTTGATGTAGCATTAAAGCTTACATCAAACTATCGCATTGTTTACAAGCAAGCACTAAAAATTATCTTGTTTGTTTATATGATAAAATATCGCAAATATCGCGTATGTAGGTATTGTAGTTTCATTTTTGGCCTCTATTATATATTGCACCTACATTGATCTCTCCATCTTCCGAAAATCGTAAYTCCCAAACGCCTAGCTGTCCATCAGTTGAGCCTGTGACAATAGCTTTCTGGTCATATGTTGTGGTAATACATGATATGCAGTGCGTTGGAGGTGATTTTCCCCACAAAACTACTGGAACCACAGAAGAAGAAGAGGACATTTTGATCGGACTCCATGAGCCTGCACATCAATAAAAATCAGCGGTAGTACAAAAACAAACCTGCGCGACACATGTAACCCAACAAAACTATGCGCATGCCTTGAATTTACCGCTGGTCATAAGTAATGTGGTCTCAATTTTCAAACATGGCGGCTGCACACGGTAATGTAAAAATTATTTCAGACGATGCACAATTTAGACCAGAGCTTGCTAACGCGGGATCAAAGCTTGTTGTAGTGGATTTCACAGCTTCATGGTTAGTAAATGATTGATTTTGTTTGATAAGTGATTGAAATAGTGTGATTTTCCCGATAAATGATTATCCCCCAAAATGTTTTGCCGGCTTTTGACGACATCATCTGATTCTAAATGGCGATTATTATAAAGTCTTAGATTAAAACTTAACTATATTGAATAAACTGATCAATTTTTTTAGCGACAATAAAAGCTTGAGCCGGAAAAGTGCAAATTTAATTTATTT